TTTGCACCACAGTTATGCACTCACTGATTCTTTTTTAAAAATCAGTTAATATAGTCATTTGTTTCAAAACTTGGTAAATACCATTTAAAAAACGAGTTTGATTGATGATAAATGTAGCCTAAAATTTTAGAGAGGGAGGGAGGGAAACACCAATGTGAGAGCTGTATCGATCAGTTGCCTCTTGTACGCACACTGACTGTGGGTTGAACACACAACCTGCGTATATACCCTGACCAGAATCAATGCACAGGATGACACTCCAACTGAGCCACACTGGCCAGGGCCAGTTGATTCTTGTATGTGCCCTGACAAGAGATCAAGCCTGCAACCTTGGTGTATCAGGATGACACTCTAACCAACTGAGCGACTCAGTCAGGGCCTGCGATCTGAATTTTAAAAAGTCCTCCTGGTGATCTGATGCTTAGTAAAGTTTAAAAAACAGAAGGGGTGCCCAGGCAAAAGCCGATGACTGATGACTGGTGTCTGACCCTCCCCACCTTTGCCTTCTCTCTTTTCCACCAGCTACCAGAGATTCACTGACTGTTATAAGCGCTTCTACCAGTTGCAACCTGAGATGACTCAGCGAATCTATGACAAGTTTCTAACACAGTTACAGGCATCCATCAGGGTGAGTGACAAGCCCAGCAGCTACTGTTCGTTGGCTTGGGTCCTGCCTCCAGACTCTCGCCCCCTGGAGGCAGGGACCCTCCCCTCCACTGTCCTCACTCCCTACAGCAGTGGTTCTCAACCTTCCTAATGCCGTGACCCTTTAATAACAGTTCATCTTGTGGTGACCCCCAATTTTATTGTTACAAATTGAACATAATTAAAGCATAGTGATTAATCACAGAAACAATATGTAATTATATATGTATTTTCCGATGGTCTTAGGTGACCCCTGTGAAAGGGTCGTTCGACCCCCAAAGGGGTCGCAACCCGAAGGTTGAGAACCACTGGCCTATAGTGTCCTTCGTGCTGCCAGGCTGCAGTGGCAGTTTCCCCCCCTTCACACGGTGCGGGTATCTTAAATGCCCCACCTGTCATTGTCCTGTATTATAATTGTGTTTATATGCTGTCTGCCCACTAGACCTGTGAGTTCAGTGAGGGCATGTCTGGGTCTTATTCTTTGTTTCTCCAGCACCTGGTGCAATGCCTGGCACAGAGGCAGCATCTAACAAATTGTTGGAACTGCATACTAGAGGGAACACAAAGAAGGACAGAATCCCATTCGTTATCTCTCTACAGCAACCTGTGGGTCGCGAACCCTTTGGAGGTCAACTGACCCTTTCACAGGGGTCACCTAAGACCATCGGAAAACACATATATAATTACATATTGTTTTTGTGATTAATCACTATGCTTTAATTATGTTCAATTTGTAACAATGAAATTGGGGGTCACCACAACGTGAGGAACTGTATTAAAGGGTCGTGGCGTTAGGAAGGTTGAGAACCACTGCTCTAGAGAATGAAACGGTCCTGTGGTTACACCTCAGGATGGGCCTCTTAAGCATCCAAGTGTGTGTGGGGATGACGGCAAGGCCTGCAGCGCTCAGACGGGCAGGAGAGAGGCTTGCTGCAGGCTCTTTTTAAATTTTTTCCATTTTATCCTTTTATTTATTGATTTATTTTAAAGAGAAACATTGATTTGTTTTTCCACTTATTTATATTTTGCATTTATCAACCACAACCTTGGTGTGTCAGGATAATGTATAACCAACTGACCTATCCGGCCAGAGGCTACCTTTATTTCCTTAATGTAAAAGTCACATGTAGAAAAACTAGAATGTTTGTGTAAAGAAACAACAGAATTTAGCCCAAATCTTATTAAATGCAGTTAGCTGTTTAGCATATTTCTACCATAAGCTTGTCTAGTATCATTATAGCTCTTTCTTCCTTTCTCTTCAGGAGGAAATCTCTGAAATCAAAGCAGAGGGAAACCTGGAAGCTGTCCTGACTGCCTTGGACACAATTGTGGAAGAAGGCAAAGACCGAAAGGAGCCAGCCTGGTGAGGACCACGGGAGGGCTCACAGAGAAAGGGGCAGCACTTCAGCACCTTGAAGGAGCTTTTTTATTGTTCTTAATCCTCATCCGAGGATATTTTTTCCATTGATTTTTTACAGAGAGGAAGGAAGAGAGAGTTAGAAACAATTGATAAGAGAAACATCGATCAGCTGCCTTCTGCACACCCCCTACTGGGGATGTGCCCGTAACCAAGGTACATGCCCTTGACCGGAATCAAACCATCAGCCAAGGCTTGAGGGAGCTTTTATGATGGACCCATTAGGTATGAGGCTCTGGGCTCACGAGAGGACCCTGTGACAGGGACAGGTGGAGAGGACAGACACCAAACAAGAACCCCCATCGGTGAAAAGTATAGCCCCCTCTGGGGAAGAGAGTCCAAGGTACACGCTGTCTAGGGGTTTGAGGCGGCTGAGGGAAACCTTCCTGGGAGCTCATTTCGGAATCTGTCTAGCCGTGAGAGAAAGGATGGGGGAGTGGAGGAGGCAGAATTATAGGTTTGGAATCTCTTCATTTGTTCATTCAACCAATTTTAGGGAACATGGACTGTATACCCAGTAGGTGCCAGAGATTCCACAATGAACAGGACACGAAAGGCCTGGTTCTCCTGGAGCTGACATCTCAGTGGGCAGCCCTGCTGCCTGGTGTCCTGTGCAGGATAGAGGGCCTGGGACAAGGAGTGGAGAGTTGAGGCCACTAAGAGCAGGATGGCCTGAGCGCCTGCCTCCCTCCACCCTCTCCGGCCTGAATAGGATTCCTAGTCCAAGGAAGTAAATATCCTTTTTGTGCTTTCCAATTGTTTTTATGCTTTGTGATCTTAGTACTTAAAAGAATGAAGTTTTATAACTTAAAAAGAAATTTAAAAAGAATCTATGGTGGCTTCCGCCCCAGTGCCTATCAGAACTGACCTATCTCCTCATTCTGGGCATCCAGAACCCCCTATAATCTTCCCTTGTTAGCGAATACCAGGGCCTCTCCAGATCTGGGCCCATTTTCAGGCAGCCAGTCCGTCTGGGAGGACTCATCCTGCCACCACCATCCCCACATCTCCAGCTCAGTCTAGAGTGGGTGGACCATCAGGGCACATGGTCAGCAGCACAGAGGCAAAGGCTGAAATCACCTCTAGCTCTGGAGTGTTTGAGATGGGGGACTGTATGTGGGCAGGAGGAGAATGTGGGGTACTGCTGGGAAGGCTAGGATACAGGGTGTGAGAAGGGGGACTGTATGTGGGCAGGAGGAGAATGTGGGGTACTGCTGGGAAGGCTAGGATACAGGGTGTGAGAAGGGGGACTGTATGTGGGCAGGAGGAGAATGTGGGGTACTGCTGGGAAGGCTAGGATACAGGGGGAGATGGGGGACTGTATGTGGGCGGGAGGAGAATGTGGGGTACTGCTGGGAAGGCTAGGATACAGGGTGAGATGGGGGACTGTATGTGGGCGGGAGGAGAATGTGGGGTACTGCTGGGAAGGCTAGGATACAGGGTGAGATGGGGGACTGTATGTGGGCGGGAGGAGAATGTGGGGTACTGCTGGGAAGGTTAGGATACAGGGCGTGAGAAGGGGGAGGTAGATTCCTGGGCACCAAAGCTGAGGGACAGAAGGTTAGCGTTTCCATCAGGAGCAGCCATGCAACTGGGTCTTAGAAGGTGGGAAGGACCCAAGAAGAGACCTTAGAAACCAGTCCACTGTGAGATGGGCGGTGGGAACATCACTGATTAGAGCTGGAGTAGAGCCCTCATCCCACGTCCTCCGCCGCCTTACGCTGTGCTCCTTGCCACTCCCCAGGCGCCCCAGTGGGATCCCAGAGAAGGACCTGCGCAGCACCACGGCGCCCTACTTCCTGCAGCAGCGGGACGCCCTGCGGCGCCGGGTGCAGAGGCAGGAGGCCGAGAACAGGCAGCTGGCGGAGGCCGTCCTGGCCGGGCGCCGGCAGGTGGAAGAGCTGCAGCGGCAGGGCCAGGCTCAGTGGCAGGCCTGGCAGGTGAGTGGGGTGGCCCCGCCCTCAGGCACCTGTCCCCGGCAGCAGAGAAAACAGACCGAGAGGTCAGAAGGTGTGGGGGACACTTCGGGGCCCTTATTGGTGATGGACTCTGCTCTGGGGAGGCCCCGTCTAGGTGGCCAAAGCACCCGCCTGACATAAATGCCTGCTGAGTGTCAGGGGGAGGGACCTCCTTACATACCCTGCGGGGCCCTGACGTGAGCCACAGACCCACACCATTCTGGGGGAACCCACGCCTGAAGGCAAGGACAGTCGATGGAAAGGATTTGGATGTTTTCCTCTCCTAATTTCCTTCTCTCCCATTGATGGCAGGCTCTACACAGAGGACAGAAGGACCTGGTGGCCATGCTGAGGGAGCCTGAGTAAGGGGGAGATGGCTGGCCCAGGAGCAGAAGGTGGTCAAGAGCCCTGTACAGCTGCAGTGTTGCCTAGTCCCTGAGCAATGATGGAATTTGCTGGGGGACGAGGTGTGAGCAGTCCCCACTGCCACTGTGCCGTGGGGAGCCCTCGAATCACACACACTACCTTCCGATTCCTCCATTTCCTTCTAACTTGAGGATTCTTGGCCAGATCCATGCCGGCCGCCTGCCCCACTCCCCCAAGCCTGCTACTTCCTTACCCCTCCCTAGGACCTGGCTTGGAAATCTGTTTTCAGTCTCCACTGATTGCCCCTTTGCTGGCCAGCTGAGGGCCTGTGCCATGTTCCCTCCACATCCGTAAATAAACTTCCTCCGCTGCACTGTAATCTGTGCGGGTGCTTCCGCCGTCTGGGACACTTGTGGGCCAAGACCCCCTCCGGGGCTCCTGAGTTCTGGCCCCTGGAGGCCTCAGCTGGAGTTCACCGAGAGCCTCCAGTCTCAGGTGGGGTGGCAGGGGGGCGTCTGACCTTCACGTGCAGAGGGGCAGTGAAGCTCCTTATCACAGAACCAGGACCCTGGGTTCCTTGAGGCCAGGACAAGCTTTCGCAGTGTCACTGACCGACCCAGTCCACTCTCCCTAGGTTTGGGTTAATTCTGACAAAGGAACAGGTGCCTGAGGGCGGGCCAGAGCACTCACCGTGGGCCTCAGCGCTTGAGTCTGGTAGGAGCAGGTGGCCCTCCAAACAGCTGGACGCATAATCCTCGTTTCTCAGGCTTTGCTCACCCGGGGCTCAGCAAGGCAAGATGGGTGCCTCCTCCAAATCAGGGGAGAAAAGGGGGATCTCACCCTAACTCTCTGGAGAGGCTTGGCTGGTCTGCCTAGGACAGTGATGGCGAACCTATGACACGCGTGTCTGGTGACACGTGAACTCATTTTTTTGGTTGATTTTTCTTTGTTAAATGGCATTTAAATATATAAAATATCAAAAATATAAGTCTTTGTTTTACTATGGTTGCAAATATCAAAAAATTTCTATATGTGACACGGCACCAGAGTTAAGTTAGGGTTTTTCAAAATGCTGACACGCCGAGCTCAAAAGGTTCGCCATCACTGGCCTAGGAGCACAGGGGCAGTGTGCTGTCAGGTGAGTGAGGTCACCCCCCCGCCTCCAGGTTGGGCTGAGACAGAAGCAGAGCTCGGGTGGGATGGGGGTTTTCCTATGAGGAGCCTGCAAGGGCAGGAAGAGAAGCAGAGGGTCAGGAGCCCAGTGCTCTCCATCTCCATGCTCCTCAAGGCCCTGTGAGGGCACAGGGAAGGGGGTCCTTACCTTCCACGTGGACCCATCCTTAACCGCATGCCCAGCCCCTCCTGTGTTGGCTTTTGACTCCTGGCCCTGTGCTACCTGACCGTTCTCCTGTCCTGACCCACAGGGCCTGACTAGAGTCTAGCCACCCCCACACAGGCCTGCCTTTGGCGTCCCGAAGGGTGAATGAGGCCGTCACGGGCACGCCCGCCCTGGGGTTTGGCTCCTGCCCACGCTGACAGTGGAAATCACAATCATCGAGAGCTGTAGCCAGTTCTGCTCCGATCTATTTTGGGCCTCTGGGCCCCTTCCTCTCTGGGTCCCCCCACAACCTCCTGGCCTGTTTAGCTGAGGTTGGGTCTCCAAGAGAGAGTAGGGGCTAGGGGACCTCAGTGGCCCCCTTAGGGAGGGGCAGGGGGCATCCAGAGGCTGGCAGTCTCAGATTACCACCCACCCTCCTCCTCCACTCCAGGGGCCTGCCCAGGCTGCCCTGGTTCCAACCACAACATCCTTTGGGGTTTGGCCTATAGATCTGGGGCGGATGACCCCAAATAGCCCTGGCAGAGTCCCCTGCGACCCGCCTGCCCGTGATGGGGCGGCCCACCCTGGCCTCCCGGGCAGGGCCCAGAGTATAAATGGGGCTGGAGGCTGGTGGAAACACCGGAGTCTGAGCAGACCAAAGCCACCTCAGAGCCGCACCATGAGGCCCCGCATGCTCGCCCTGCTGGCCCTGGCCGCACTCTGCCTCGCTGGCCAGACAGGTGAGCCCCCACTCTGCCCCAGCCGGGGAGGAGGGGAGCACCCACTCCTCACCCCTCCACTGGCAGTCCCTCTGGCTGTCCAACCCCCTCCTCCAGGGGGGCAGGCGCCATCCATTTGCCCTGCCTCTGTCCTTGTGGAAGGAGAGGGGAGAGAGCAAACTGCCAGAGGGGCAGGGGAGGGGCTTCAGGGTCAACTGGGGTCCTTTCTTTTGCAGATGCAAAGCCCAGTGGTGCAGAGTCTGACAGAGGAGCAGGTAGGAGGCAGGCCTGGTAGGGACTTTGTGCCACATCACCCAGCTGCCCAGCGGTCCCTCACCCTGGCCCCCTCAGTCCCGTTTCCCCCTCCTACTGGCTCCTCTCTGGCTGTTAAGAAGGCCAGCCTCTCCCCATCTTATCCCCCCAAACTCTCAGCCACCTGATCCCTGCCCCTCTGCTCCACAGCCTTTGTGTCCAAGCAGGAGGGCAGTGAGGTGGTGAAGAGACTGCGGCGCTACCTGGATCCCGGGCTGGGGTGAGAAAAGGAGTCTGGGAGGACGAGGGCCCTGGTGACGCGGGAGTGGAGGGGGCAGTTTGTGTGGAGGCTGATGCCACGGTGTTGGGCTGTCAGAGCCCCAGCCCCAGCCCCCTACCCAGATCCCCTGGAGCCCAAGAGGGAGGTGTGTGAGCTCAACCCGGACTGCGACGAACTGGCTGACCACATCGGCTTCCAAGAGGCCTACCGGCGCTTCTACGGCATAGCCTAGAGCCTGCAGCCGTACCGGCACCCCCTGCCCTGGTTCCTCTCCAGAACCCCTTCCCCTGCCCTTGCCCTGACCTCCCTGCCCTGACCTCCCTGCCCTACAAGTGCGGGGTCACCATCTGCCCAGCTGCGCCAGAATAAACTCCAGAAGAGGAACTGGTGGCGTCTGACTCTTTATCTATGGAGGCGGGGGAGGTGCTGGGAGGGTGGGAGAGGCAAGGGTGTTTTACCTCCTTCAGTCCCAATAAGTGCTTCCCAGTCGGTTGCCTTTTTTTATTTGTGTCCGCCTCATTCCACAAGCACTGAAGTTGGCTTCCTAAAGTCGAACTAGGGTTCCCCCTCTGGCCCAGCACCCTCCCCGCCACCCCAACCCAGTGCACCATCCCTGACCCACCCACACCGACCAGACGCCCCGAGCTGAACGTGTTGAGTGCACGACTGTGACCAGAACAGACTCGTCACCACAGGCCACGGGCTGCCAGCGGACAGCACGGCCTGGCTTGGGGGGTGGGGGCAAGAGTGGGCCTCCTGACCTGTGAGCAGCATTCAGGGGAGGCCTAGGTTAGTCGTGTTAGTTCTTCCTTGGGCTAAGCAGACTTCCAGGAGCACCAGAAATGGGACTAGATGAAAGGGCCCCAACACCTCCCCATCCCAGCCTCTGCCCGGAAGGGGAGGCCCTCTAGCCTGGACACACACCTCCCCTCTCAGACCCTCAGCACTTCCCCAGCCCCATCAAGAGCTCGCTCACTGACCCTCCTGCTCTCTGCCAGCCCCACCAGCTCCTCTCCTCTGCCTTTTCTCCTCCGCACTCTCTCAGTCACTTCTGCTTCCAGGCTCCTACGTGCCCCACACCCTTTCAGGTCTGGGTCTGGGCTCCCCCAGCAACAAGGCCTCACTGTTGTTTGGCATTAGTACCCCCCTCCGGCGGACCACCCTGCAGCAGGGGGCATGTACTAGGGGCCCGAAATAGGGAGGCTGTGAAGGCAGCAATGATGAGCAGGTTCCCCGCCACCGCCAAGCCCAGCGTGGCCACTGTGCCTGCCAGGCCCAGGGGGGGCGCCTGTGTGGCCAGCCAGGCTTGGCGAGACTCCATATCAGCCAGCACCGCTTCCAGCTGGAAGTGGGTGCCCAGCACTGCACAGATGTGGAAGAGCTGGTGGCTGTGGCCTGTGGGGAAGGTAGGCAGGTCAGGGCACATACCCATTCCCAGGGCTGCCCCAACTCACCCTCTGACCCATGGCAAGTCACCCCATCATCTGGGCCTGCTACTACCCTCAACTTAGGAATAGGAAACCTGATTCCAAGCGTTCCTGGAAGAAGTGAGTGAGCGGATATGCATAAAACACGATCCCCAGCATACATGCGACTAGTTTTGCTGCCTTCGGAGAATCGGGGGGTGGGCCTGGACTCCCAGGACCCTCCAGTGCACTGTCTCCTGGCTGCATACGCCATTTACTCAGCTCAATCTCTGGGTTCTGGGAAGCTGTCTCCCTGGCCCTTTCCTCACCAGGCTGGGCCTGCTCTCACCAATGTAGTCAAAGCGTCCTGGTGCCAGCCGCTCAGGCAGGTGAGAGGCGAAGAGAAAACCAGTGAGCAGCGCGCACAACAGGTGGTAGCCATGATTGATGCTTAGCGCCTCATGCCCACAGCTGTGGCCCCTGCCCCAGCACAGTCCCAGCTGGCAAAGGAAAAGAGGGGTGAGCAGGAGGGATTGGAGAGTGGACCCACATGTGTCTGGAATCTAGGGGGGGAGGGGGCAGAGCCAGGCTGGGTGCTGGAGGGGAGGCAGCAGGGCTGAGGTGAGATTGAGGGCAGGACTGGAAGGGGCACTGAGAGGACAGGAAAACGTGCCTGACCAGGAGCCCTAAGCCCCCTTACCCGATAGAAGAGTGGGAGGTTGTCAAACAGGAAGGGGTAGGCGAAAGCGCCCGTACGGAGGATCTTACTGAGCCCAGGGCTTTCCAGCTCAGGGAACCTGGGAGGCAGGAGGGAAAGGCTGGTCACCATCCTGGGGCCAGGGTGGGAGTCAGAGGGGCGGGAGGCTCTGACCAAGATGGAATGTCAATGTAGCTCAGTGACACCTGACCCCTCTGTAAATGACCACATCTGTGAAATGGGTGGCTGGGAGGATAAAGGAAACGGCCGGTATGGTGCTAGCGCACAGGCTCCGACACAGCAATTCTCAATCAATGGTCCCGTAGCTCTTAATGATGTTCAAGAGCGATCCCAGGTGTGAGTGTGCTTGCGGCGCCCGGTCCTGTCCCTCCGCCTCCCGCTTCAACACCGACCGAGAACCCACCGAGAGTAACAGGAGAGGCCGGTGCACAGGAAGGAATTGAGTGCGGCGGCGGGCACAAAGAGCTGGTGCAGGCGGCCGTGCAGCCAGGAGGCCGGCATGGAGTAGGCGGCGT